CTGCCACTGCCATTATTTTTTATTATGGATTACAAACCGAAAATTATAACAATTTTGTTACGCTTCTTTGAGGAAAGGGCCCCGCACCGCACCGCATTGCAGGCCGCCCCTCGATCCACTATCGCTATTAGGCGCCAACTTATCAGCGTAATAAAGTGGCGGGGCAACCAGTTGGAACAGTTTCTGTGCGGTGGCAAAGTGTTGAACTTGAAAACGAAAGCAAAAGCAAAACGGGAAAGAAGCCCAAGTCGCGTGGGTCGATGGGGGAATACTCTTCGGGATTCTACAATAATAAAACTCCAACACTGAATTGAAGCTAACAAGGCAATGAAAAGGTTGAGAAATTAAAAACAAATATTACAGCACCAGGAAAAATATATAAAATCTATTTTTATAATAAAAAAACAAATATTTTTTCAGAAAGCTAAGCTTGTAGAAGTGCTTAAAATAAAATATATAAAATATATCACACTGAAAATCACAGTCTTAATAATTTATATGTACTATGAATATCAATTTAAACCATTTGCTATAAAAAATTCAATGAAAAGAGCATTTCAGAACCTCTCAAATATTTTTTCACATTGGGAACCATGAGGCAGAAAGCACTTGAAATTGCTTGGGTGTCTTGTGGAGGGGCAAGCGGCAAAGGGGAGGACAACCCTGCCCCAACTTATCTTTAAGCCACGCGCTAATTTGAAAATAATGCTCCCCAATCATTTTCACATTTTTTCACATTTTTCAGGCACCTCAGCACTCCAACTTCAGCGATCGGCGTGGAGTGAGCAATAAAAGTAGGCAACCCCTTGGCTTTGCCTTGTATTCGCTGGCTGGCCGGCCCTCCCACTTGTTGATTGTCTGTATAATTACATAATATTGCATAATTTTGCAAACAGTACGCGGTCGCTTTGGGATTTCTGCTCTGTTAGCTACGTAGAGTCTAGGAGACTCGAAAACTCGAAGAGTCGGAGTCTTTGGGGTCTCATTATCGTCGGCTGACCGACGATCTTCTTCGTTTTCGCTTTCAGTATCAGTGCACAATGTAGTACTTAAATAATAGAAGTTTAATAGCGTTTTGTTTGGTACCGGCCGCATTTGCAAGTCGTTAGTTTCTGCCAGTCGCTGCTTCTCCAATGATTTTTTTTCCTATTTTTTCTTTGCTGTTTTTGGACTACTAATGCATTCAGCTGTAAGATTTTTGTCAAGGTTATCCAGTTGGCTGTGTTAGCGGATATAATGACATGATGCATACGGTGGAAGCCAAAGTCAGCATCAATTTCGGTTCTCTGGCGTTGTTTTTTCCCTTTGATTTGTTCTTCTATAGCTTTTCGGGAGGAAGTTCAGTTTTAAGAGCGCTGTAATTGTGTGTAGTTCGTTCAAGTTCGCTGCCTTAGTCATTTGGCAAGAGCCTAACGAACTTTGCAGAACTTTTCTACCATCCACCGGCCAGCGTGCAATGTGCAATGTTCCCTCACATGTCTTTGGGGCTTTAGACTGGCTAATTTCGCTCATTAATCATCGAGCGGCGGCTGCGGGAGAAAATCGCTCCGAAAACTGATTACACATGTACGGCCCACCAAATCAAAGTTGTGCCAAAAGGCTTCAACCACATGAAGCCATCTGTTGTAGTTCCATCCCAGTGAAATGTATCTGCAAACAAATGAAGTTGTCTGCCAGCAACAGGCAACTCATTCCGATTCTAAGGCTCCTCGCGGGCCGTCTAGTAGAGTCATCAAGTCCAGGATTGATCATTGATCTTTTGGCACTCAATCCTCCGCCTCCTCCTTCGTCTGCGCACGAATTATAAATAGTGCAAATGCGTGCAGTGCATCATCATCATTAGTTTTCGGCCAAAAACCATGGCAATAGACTTGTCTAAAGTCTGGCTTGGCCTGGCCCCTCCACTCTTCCATTTGGCTGCCCTACAACTTGCTCTTGCAATTATACGAATCTATGTGTCTGTCCTTAGTTTCGTTTGCTAAATTGTTTCAATTTGTTTTGTGGTTGGCATAATTACTGGGCCAGGGTACTAACATATTTGGAGTGGGTTAAAATTTTATAAATCTAACTTCAATTTATTCAATGAAAAGATTGGTTTATTGCAATCATATTTATAAAGAGAAAATATTTTTAAAAATTCAGTGAATTTTTTTTAATTATAGATTGAGCCTACTTTTTTAGTTAAAATAATTAAGATTGATTAAATAATCCAAAAATTATTTATAGAATATTTTTTAAATTATTTTCTAATTTAAATTTTGGAAATATAAAAGGATGTCATACTCTCTAAAGTATTCCCTTAAGCTATAATCTTTTTTAGCCCAGTTTTTAGAAGGGTATTGCTAATTCCCCTTGCCAACCTATCGACTCCTGCCCAACAAGTTCGTGTCCTAAGTCTTTCGTTTCGTTTCGTTACGATTTGCGCTGCAAGTCAGGCATTTTCTAATTGCAAGTTAATTTCTTGTTGCGAACATAAATTTAACATTCTAATTGAGTTATCAACCGCAACATGTACATACACACACCGAAAAAGCAGAAAAAACAGAAAAAACAACCGCTGACAGAGAGGATGCGGCGGTAAAACAAGTAGGAGAAGGAGATGCCGACGCCGGACAACTTTTACAGCTTCTCATCTCATCGTCCTCAAGCCGTGTTCGCTTTGGTTTTTCGCTTCCAAACTGGCAAACTGGCTACGCATGTGAAAAATGGCCTACACATGAAGCCACTGAGCTTGTTGTCCGCTCCCCTTCCACCTCCTCAGCTGGAAGTTGCTGCTGCGACCACAGAAATTGCAACAAAGCCACAAGCGTCCGGGTAAGTGCAGTAATTACATTTCGGTGTGTGTAAGTTTTTGGGCCTTTGCTAATTTGCCTGCTGCTTCTGTTTCTTCTTATTTAGTTTTGGGCATTTATAACTAATTTTTTTTAGCCGGCTTCTGCGCGGCCGCTGAAAGAATTTTCCAACGTGGAAATATGCACTTTGGCATGGCTCGTAATTAATTTACTTTGTGTGTTTGCCCGCTGGCAGCCGCAAAGGAGAACGACACACACGAAAATATGAAAAAAATCCATTACGCAAATGTTTATGACCAAAATGGTCAGCAGTCGAAGAGGCAGCGTTGGCAGCAGCCTCTTCATCTGCTGCCAATGCAAATAGAAAAGATTTGCCAAAGCCCCCAGATGCGTGTGCCCCAAAACTGAGGCTGCGGATGGAAAATGGAGGATGGAGGATGGGAACCGGAGTCAAGTGAACTTCTCTCACATACATCACAACATTGTAATGCATTTTCGCCCCGAACCGCCCCTCAAAAAGCCGCTCGTGGAAATTAGTTTTCTTTTTCGCCGCATCGTGTCATCAACGGGATTTCGGAGGCGTGATTGTATCGAAGGTCGTGGCAATATGGAGATGTTGCAAGAACATTAAAGCTTTCGTACATTTATGGTCAGCTAATGCAGATTTGTGTATCTTTCCCATGAGGTGATGATACTAAAGGTTTTTTAAAGCCAAATATTTGGTGGTTTTTTTAAGAGAACTGCATGTTTGGGATCTAATGAATACCACTTCAATATATGATATATTTTATGATATGATATCAGTTCATAATTTTCATTGATTAAGTGCTCTAATAAAATTCAAATTTAATCACGTCAAGCTGTTTGAGATCTTTCTCATTTAAGCGATAGTAACTTGATACGTCGTTATTAAATATTTGAGTTTATTTTCATTAGTTTCTAATATGCATAAATAATTATGGCCATTCATAGAGCACACATTTTTCGCATTTGCTTATTTTTTAGTTTTTGCATATTATAAAAACACGGACTTAAATTTATTTTTATGTTTTTCTAATATTTCCTCCAATATATTTAGCTGAAATTCGATATGCATTTAAGTCATATTGTCTACCGAGACCAAGAATGTGACCAAAAGACTATCTGACCCGCAGACTAATCCAATGGAATTCCTTGTACGTTCCCAGCTCGTTTCATATTCATAAATTTATTAGCTAACGCTACCAACTTGCCGCTCGAAGACATCGTCTTCAGAAGTGGCCCAAATTCGAGTCGCTGTTGTTGCCTTCATTTTAATCAAACATTTAGTTTATCGTCTCACATTTCAACTAATTAACACTACGACGGGACCGCCTCTTTGGGCTGTGAGATCTCCGACTTGGTTTATGTTTTTGGCTGGCTTTGGCTTGGCCAGCCTTCTGCCTTCTGCCGTTGTGGATGCCGGCATTCGACTGATCGACTAAACGAAAATCAGCTTAAAATCATAAAAAACGCACTTAAATAAAATTTAATATTCAAATATTGACATTTAGTGCCATGTTAGCAGCAACTTAGGTGTTTTCTTCGCCTTCTCTCTCTCTTCCCATATTTTTCGAGCTGCCCTCCTAGACAATAAGCCTTAAATTATGCATGTGGATTGCCCGAGAGACGACGCAATTCGCTTAGCATTAACTAATTGATCTGCATTAATTTCAAGCCGGTGCTCAAGTCGAAAGACAAAAGAGCAGGTGAATCGCGTATGCTGGAAATACTTAACGTAGTTTGTATTTGTATTATGATTATTATGAGTTTTTTCTCCTATTAAAATTATGACATCATTTAAATATTTTCGCCGCTGTTAGCCGTTGTTAGATTTTTGTGTAAACTGGTTTAGGCCATACACAATTTTCGTCGCTCTTTCTGTCGCTTTTATTGTTGTTGGGCAATTATGCATGCCCCCAAACCCCATAATTCATAAATTCATTTTGCGCCCGAATTCGAAAATGCGGAAGCGCTTTGATTTGCTGATGTTTTTGGGGCCATATCATACATATCTTATCAATACGGCCAGAAATCATCTTGTTCTCTTGTCGCATATGAAATTATTATAGTCATAAACTTTTTACGGCTTTGCTCAATATTTAGGTCGTAAAATATTTATTTTTATTTTTCTGTTTATTTTCTTTGACGGAGGTGATCTTATAATAAAAACGATATGAGATCGCTTACCGCATATGGATTATCCTGGTTCATCATTATGGAAATCTGGGATCGCTGAGCTCGAAATGCTCAACCGAAGGGACTGAAATGAAAATTTAAGAGTTTAAATAGTTGCATTTGTGATGGTTAAATATAAATCTAAGATGCTACTTGCGACTATCTTAATTAAAACTTGATTGGATTAAATTACTTATAGGGAGCAATCAGAATTTATAATTCTAAATTTTATAGAAGAAATTGTAAAGTCTTTGCTTAATATATTCCCAAGTTTCAAGCTATTCTGCTTTTCATTTTTCCGTAATAACAATAATTTGAACTGATACTTGATCCGCACACATTTAATGCCTTAAACTGATTGAAGATTCGCTCCAAATCAGCTTGGCATTCTGACATTTAGCCAAGTGAACGCTGCCAGCTAATAATAATAGTAATAATAATACTACCCATAATAATATCGATATTTGTTGTGATGCAAATGCTGGGGAAGTGAGCTGCTTAGCTGCACCTCAAAACGACCAGAGAAGACAATCAGCTGCCTCACATCAAGACCCCCAAGAACCTCTAGAACCCCCAGAACGACTCTATAGCGCCGTGAGTCACCCTGCCTTCAGACCCACTCCTGGGCAGAAGACTCGGCCAGGTCGGATCCCCACTGCCCCCCACCTGAAGCGAGGTGGCATGTTAACTGACAACAGGTGTTTGCTGCTCGCCGTCCGTCTTTGAGTCTTGCGGCCTGCTTGCCACATTTGCATTTGATATTTTGTAAGCTCGTTTTGCTGCCGCTGTTAACGCGCCCGTACTAAATACTTTCACACTTTGTCCCCGCTCTGCTCTCCTTTCGCAGCGATTGTGCTTTTCCGGCCTCGGACCCCTTAAGGATGTTGAAGTCAGCACTCGACCTTGATGTGTTAATTTCCCTGCCAACTCTTGTCAGTCATCCGTCCAGGTACACTTTTCAAAAAACCCTCGATTAAAGAAATTTCTTTTATTTTAAATGAGACCTAATTAACTGTTACATTATCTTTACAAAATCATTGTTTGTCATATCAATTTGATTAGAATAATGATAGATTCTAAGGTAAATTAGAAGGAATCACTATAACCATGAGAAAATATTTAAATGGAAGCAATCATCCACAGGGTAATCTTGGTAACGTCTTTTAAAGCATTAAATTTAAGATTCTAATTATTAAATTAGGCATTATAAGCTTTTTAGAACAGCTTTTAACTATCGTAAACCGACAAAAATAATTTTCATAAAATTAGTTTGAGTGTTCCGGGACTTAAAAGCGAAGGCAGGAAAAAGGCTTGGGCTGTGTTCTTGAAAGGTGCCAGCAAAATCGGCCTGTGAAGTAGATTGCCCTAGCTAACTAGAATAAGTGCACACTCTGCGACTTGTAGAACACAGCAAACTTACAAGGCACTCGCCATAAGTACGAGTATATGGGGTCTGTCAATATTTGCGACACATGCAAAAGCAATCCAAGTTAGATTCTTCATTTGCCTGCAAGCGAGTCAGGGCAAAATGCACTTGCAGAAAAATTGCAATGATTTTACTAAAGGTTTGAGAGATGTGAAATCAAAAAGTTCTAAAAAGGAATTACGTTCAACTGAAGAGAGTATCTACAGAAAGAATCAAAGACACTATAATCAATATAAACTAATCCTTTAAAAATAGCCCATCATATCAACTTTAATTCTTTAAAGGTAATAATATCTGACTTTACGATCTTACTAGATCAGAAGCTTTAATCTCCCCCAATTTCTCTTTAATCCCCTCTTTCACAAAAGCCCCAATTTCTTTCAGTGCCGCAGTTAATGCCATTCCCATGGATCTTGCCTGGCTTTTCGGATTTTTGTAACAAATATTCTGGCAAATAAAGCTTTACACGCTATTTGCATTATAAAGCAAACATGTGCGGCGACTATATCTGGGCAGCCGTCTCGCTCGCACTTGACTTACATTGATTCTGTTATATAGTCGTAAAGTTTATTTGCCCTGCCCTTGCTTTTGTTGTTGTTGATCTAGCCATGTTTTATGGCCACACTAAAAAGTGCACTGGTCAACAAAGATCGACGGGAGAAAACTTTCTCACCGAACTGTAGTGCCTGGGCCATAGCTTCCACTGGGCCGTCGTATAAGTGTCATATAGGGGAGTGTGTATATGGTTTGTATAATTAAATCATACGAAACTCGACAGTCGCAGACAGTTCGTCAGTTAGTCGGATTGTCAAGCGTTATCTGGCATCGCCATCTTCCTTTTGATTTTTTTTTGTTTTATGAATTCTATTCGTTAATGAAATTCACATGTTCCCCATCTCCATCTCGAACTCCGATCCCCATCTCCATGCCCATTTTAATGTTCGCATGATGGATGTGTCTCAAGAAACAGTGAAATGTTCGTTCCGTTTCTTCGATATCTGGATCCCCATCCCCTGCGAACCTTTGAACTCACCTGCTTTTACTCGCTGATCAGCCGATCAAGTTAATCCAATTTATTTGCTTAGTGTTTCTATTTTGTTGCGCACTTAGGGTTTGCTTTTCCTAACATTGTGAACTTGCCGTTTAAGGTTTTGTGTATTTTCGTGTATTTTCCGTTGTTGCTTTGGCTTGCTATTTATTTTTTCGTTCACCTTGCGCCAATAAAACGTCACTTGAGCGTATAGAGTTGTTGCTGTTTTTGCTCAAATTGCACTTGACTTTTAGAACTTTAGGCGAGCGTGAAGCATGTTAAATATATATCTTTTGGGTATTTAAGTATGTGTGTTTGTGTTTTTTTTTCAGCAGGGTATATATCACATGTGGGCAAATTTTCGTAATAATTTCATTAAATAGGGTCTAAGACTCTTTTTTAATTTAAATAAAAAGTTTGTGGTTTTGTTTTATATTTCTTTATTTTTTTATATTTATAAATATAGATTTTTGTTGGGTTATTTCCATGTTTTCTCTACTCTTGCCATGTTTTAGTTTTATAGAGTGACCACACCTTTGTGTGAGGGCACTCCTGGCTGCGCACGCGCACTTGCCCTGTATTTCTTTATTTTCCGCTTTCGTTTGACGCTTTTTAATAGTGTAGTATAATGAAGAATTTCTTTTTTTTGCTTGGTATTATTTATAAATTTTTATTTTAGATTTACTCCAATTAATTATGTGATTTTTGAGCTTAATTTGCATGTGCTGATTTTTAGCGGCGGTCAAAAACAACGTAACGTAAGGCGACGCAACGACGACGGCGACGTGCGATCGAGCGTGCGAGCAAGAAGCGCGAGCTATCACTAAAGACTGATGTTAAGCAGTTCTGCAAAGTGCTCAGACCTCTGCGACTCGGCGACTCAGATGCTTTGCAATATCATCCGACGAACGCTCGGTAGCAAACTGAGCTGAGACTTCGGCTACCAGAGAAGTACCAGCAACAGCAACAACAATATCTCGCTGGGGAGATGATACTACTATAAACAAAAACTACAAACTGGTCGAAGAAGCAGTAACAGAAACCGAAACAAAAACAAAAGACTGCAAAAGCGACAAACTCGAACGCCGCTGGAGTGCAATTGTGTGAGTGAGGAAGAAGACGATTCCGATTCTCTCTAACGGTTGATACACCCGAGCACTCGTACTCATCCCCCGAAACAGAGAGAGCGGGAGAGGCGCATTGAGAATTGAGTCTGGAAAGAGCGGCTTTGAGGCAGAAATGGTGTCTGTGTGAGCCGCGGTTTGAGTGATGTTAACGCGAATCAGAGTCATTTTGCTATTGAGTCGTATTTACAAAACCATCGAATATTGAGTGAATTCTGTTCTCAAATTATAATTTACTTAGTTGTAAATTAAACGCATATTTTTTGATCAACATATATTATTAAGGTTGTGACAAGAAATTTAGAAATGTACAAATTGGTCAATTCTAATTGATATTTTGTCATACAGTTTCATTGATTTTCTTTCTATCTATTTTTTTTTGTTGCTGGGTTGATTTGTAAACATTTCCTATTTGATTTAATTACTTTTTCTTAGCTGTTAAAACATTAATTTGCTTTTTATATTGGCTTTTGTTAAATCCTTTCAAATTCAAAAAAATAAGTACAAAAAATCAATAAAATATATCAAAAAAAATTAATTCGAAATAACATTCAAAAAACGCAGAGTAGATATTTCTATTTTAATTCTTAAAAATGATATGTCGCATTGTTTTTGACACTTAGGCCTCAAATAAAATTGTTAAATTTGTTACTTTTATGAATCTTTATTTATGCGTATATTGTCTTTCATTTAAGAGTAGTCGAATGACTTATTAGTTATTAGATATTAATAGGTTTTTGTGCCTTTACCATTATACTAACTTCCCGGTTTCTCACTTATCGTATTGCACTCATCCATTTTACTCGCTCTCTCACCATTTTGTGCGGCTTTTGAGTGATTCACTCAGCGGTTACACACACTCGTGGATATATCTACTCGAAGAATTCGTTACCACATTTGATTGGCTCGATTAACACAATCGGAGCACCGTTATAACCAGTATACCCACACAGACAAGCGGTGAAGAGAGGAGAGTACTCAATTCGCCCAAAAGAGAGAGCGATCCACCAACACAATCTCAACTCTGGATCGTGCTCCAGTCGTCGTCGGGTGTTATAGATAAACGAGCCGATCCCGTTTGCCGTGGGCGAAAACGAGACCAGACTATATTGCCGTCTCCCGTGCATCGGGCCACTATATAAAGCCGGCATATATGTTCTCGTTTCGCTGACCAATGCAGAGCAGCTGGGCCGAGAGCTACCCATACAAACGAGAGCGATCAATGAGAGCGATCACTCACACAGACGCACCCATCGAAATCGTATTAGCGGCTGCCGGTGGGCGTGGTCTATCGATCGGGTGGCATTCCCCACCGCCCACCGCCCTCCCCCCAAAGGCCCCCCTTAATTCCCAGCGAACTGGATTGAAAGTGCGAGGGAGAGGTACCGAGTGCCTGAGAAAGAGAGGGGAGTACGTAAGGCCCGGAGTGATGGAGTTTTCCTAACGGTCTGCTCTTTTTCTTTTCTTTCCTTTTTGTCTTTTTTTTGCATCTTCCACTAGTTTTTTCGCCCGTTTGGCAGTTGTCAAGCTGTCATAGTTTCGATCATTAAATGCGATATCTGTTGATAGCCATAAGACATTTTACGATATTACTAACATTGTTAGCTGGCGCCCCCTAGTGCGAAAGAGAGACAAACTGGCCGATCCGCAAGATTCCCGGTACCGTCAGCGGGATTAATGTATCATAAATAGCTTAGTTTCTAGAAATTACACCCCGAGCGTATGGTTATCGTTAAGTATAAATTATAATTAGCCATCTTTATGCCCAAGATCTACAAAATTGAATAGTTGCAGTCGCTGGCATAATATCAATTGATTACTAAATAGTGGCCGTTGGTAGTACCGGCTATTAAGCGATCTATGAATATTCATAACCATAGCTCTTAAAGCGGATAGTGCTCGACGACGAGTAATGATATTTGCCCCTTCGCTGTATCATAAATAGGTATATCTACTTAATGGGATAATTTACATATGTTCCCTCATGTATCTCGACTGGAAATGGCTTTAACAACAAAGGTGTGCGAGTCCGGCAAATACGTCTGCTCTTAAAATAAACTTTAATCATTTTGCTTCCGTCTATTAGTCAACCAAATATCCTTGTTTATGATTTCAAATTGTTGTTAATCTTTTGTTATCTTACACTTTTAGACAATAGTATTACTTTGAATGTTCTTTTACTAATGATTCGAACTTCTTATTCTCAGTATTGTTCCATTCGTTTTTATTCAGTTCCCACAACAACAGCCCTTTTGCCCAGCCGAACGCTTTCTTAATGAAATATTTTACAGATGTAAGTATTTTCCTTTGCAAAATGGGCGTGAAGCCAGCTTATATCGTGGCTCAATACAATTTCTATACTAATTTTCCCACTTTTCCCTGCTTTCTCCTTGCACATCGTCTTATCCCATTTTGACTTTCGGTAGGAAAATGTCACAGAAGTTAATCCAATTTGCTGTTTTACGACAGGGCACGAAAACAGAGAAAACCCGCAGCTCGTTATCATCTTGTGGCCTCTCGGTGGGAAGGGTAACCCTTCTGGCTTCGGTCGGGAAACGCCTCTCATTCTTGGGTTTCCTCCTTTAGAGGAAAATGGGGTGTTTTAAACCCATTACAAGGGCCCTTACCAGAAGCAGTTCGCTTTCCTCGTTCTCCTCTTGCGGTTTTCCGATTGCGGTTTCCTTTGCACCCGCACTCTCAGCCAGATACTTTTCACAAATTTTCACGCTTTAATTTCGGCTCTTGGCATTTGCATATGGTTGGAAAGAGAAAAGGGAAAAGAATAAAAGGGACGGCTAGTGCCAGCTAATCCTTGGTGAGCAACAGATTATCCCCGACAATTGTTTGTTCTTGATTTGTTTGTTATGGGTGCACAGCCGGGACTAAGGACTGATTCTCTATTCCCGTTGCTTTCTTTCTATTATACTACACTTGAAAAACAAAGGAGTAATTTCCGGAGAGGAGCGAAACCTTTAGTAAACTAATTTTCGAAATAGTCGAATGCAAGAATTCTTCAAGGTATTAAATTATCTTGTTTTAAACAGTATAAAAAAAAGTGTTATAAATGTTTTTTTTCTTATTCCGCTAGAGTTTTATTTCTTAAATATCAAATTATTTAAGTGTGTGTAATTAAAGTGTGTTTCAAGGAACCAAAAATAATCATTTTTATTATTGTTAAAAAAAATAAATGTTTCTTTATTTTTATCAGTTTTATTATTAGTAATTTAGTAATTTATTTTATTTTTGAAATTTTTTCATTCACCTTTCTTTGAGTTTTGGTAAGTGTATATTCTTCAAAAAAAAACTGCCTTACAATTGCAACAATTGCAGCCGGGAAAGGCTCGAGGGGTTTCCTCTTTCGCCGCCTTTCTTTTCCTCCGCTTTTCCGCTGCTGGCCTCGCCCCTTTCTGGTTACAGTTTAATGCGTTCTAATGTATGTGACTTTTGCCAGGATTTTCTCGTTTGCCATTTGCCGCCGCTTAAAACTCGAAAATCGAGTGACTTGCAGAATACAGAATCGGTGAATTCGGAGCGGAATGTGTATGAAAATGGTCTAAAGTCGTCCTGACAATCGGACATCATCAATCACCGGCTCGATTTGTATTCCTGCCCAGCATGATCGGGCCCCTTTCGATCAATATAAATATTTCTGCTGAAATTAGGTTACAGGCAAATTGTGTCCATCCGCATGAGGCATCCAGTTTCTGCTACGGTTCCAGCTCCAGTTTCAAAAAAAAAGAAGAGAAAAACTTGTGTCATGCCAGGCTACCTTTATTTCTGTTTGAAGACTGTGCATACAATAAATTAATTATAAATGCATTAATCACTGCCAAAATCAACAGCAACAACAACCGGAGCTGAATTTTTGTATATTTTTGACAAATACTGACATGAGTGCTCCCCGCTCGCTGTTCATTTCACTCGGATTTCGGTTCGGTTTTTGGTTCGTTTTCGATTTGAGTTTGGGTTTCGGTTCGATTCATTCTTTAAGGCGGCGCGTGAAATGAAAACAAAAATTTAAAACACGTTTTCGCGCTTATTTCTGACTAATTTATGCGTTCGATTTGAATTCGCCTCGTTGTTGACTCGATTCCGATTCGACAGAATTCTGTCTTTAAAACACTCTTTTACGACTGGGGTATCACTCATCTTAAATAGTAAATAATTGTATATAATAATAGTATATA